GGGCGGACGCGCGGGGCGGACGCGCGGGGCGGACGCGCGGGGCGGACGCGCGGGGCGGACCCGGGCGGCCGCCTCAGGTGAGGCGAGTCCAAGCCCCGCCCCTTGCGTCCGCGGTTGGCTGGGCCTGCGGGGCGGGGCCTGCGGGGCGGGGAGGGGCGGGGCCGGCGGGGCGGGGCGGGGCCGGGCCGGGCCTTCGGGGCGCAGGCTCCCACCTGCGGTGGCCGGGCTGTCTGCGCGCGCGGTGCTCCGGGGAGGGGCGGGAGGTTAATGAGACGGGTGCGTGCGCGGGACTCCGCCGCGAAGTCGCAGGTGTTCGCTGAGCCTGCGGGCGGGTCCCTTCTAGGAAGGGGCGAGGGCGCTGCTGTCCCCGGTCCCTGTCCCCGGTCCTGGTCGGCCTCCGGTCCGTTCGTGAACGCGAGCGGTCGGTGCGGGCTGGAGCGCGCGCCTTGTACTGACCCGCGGGGCTTTGGGGCCAAGTGTGCGCCTCCTGTGGGTTGTCGGGTGGTTCTCAAAGCCCTGGGCCTGTATCTGCCCGCGTGTGTACGCATCCGTGCCCTCACCCCGCGTAGGCTGTGACCGCATTCGGAATGCACTCACCGGAAACATGACGTAGTATAAACTGTGTTTCCTCTGGGGGTGTCTGGGTGGCTTCGGTTAAGTGTCCTTGATCTCAGCGCAGGTCTTAATCTCAGGGTCGTGAGATTGGGCGCCACGGTGGATGCGGAGCCTACTTTAAAATTTTCTTTCCTTTAAAAATTTTTGAATTATTAAAAGTCTTAAGATTGGGATAGAATATGAATTAGTAATGAACATTAGTCTTAAATTATTTAAATAATACTGAAACTTTTTAATAATTAAACTTATTAAATGTTCTTATGAAAATATTTAGTCACCGTCCTCAAGTTTACTTGTCCTCCGCCACTGTGGAGTCCATGTGTTCCCGCAGTCCGTGTCGACCTACACGTGTGCGCGTGAAAGAACAGTGCGAACCGCTCAGAACCGCAGAATGTTCAGTCGCCACGTGCAACTGTTGCAGATACTGTGTACTAAGTTGCTAGTCTTTCCAGAGCCACAAGTTGGAATGCAAAGAAGAGCAAGAAAGTGCACATTTGACACTATTAGGAAGCAGTTCTTCGTTATGCAAGGAGGAACTGTATTTTTGCTCCACTCGGGGAAGGATTTGGCAGTGAATTAATGTCTTTTCTCACACCTGACCACGTCGGTTTCTGAAGTTCTCCTCCATTCTAAAGCATGGAGACAAATGTCAGTATCGGCACAGCCTACAGCCTTCTCCGGTCGCATTGGCCTTGTTTTGGCCTCCTCCCCCCACTTAAAAATTTTTTAAAAGATTTATTTATTTATTCCAGAGAGAGCGAGAGAGAGCTCTAAGGGGGAGGGGCACCGACAGAGGGAGGGACTCTCAAAGCCGCCTCCCTGCTAAGCATGGAGAACCCTAAGAGGGCCTCAGTGACGACCCGTGAGATCACAGCCTAAGCTGAAACCAGGAGCCAGACGCCCAACTGACTGCCCCACACGGGACCACAACTATTTTTTAAACAGAAGTTTTCTAACATACACAAAATAAACAGAGTAGTATAATTAACTGAAGTCCCCGTCTTTCAAAGGCATAAGCCAGAAAGAGGTTTCTCTGGGGCCTGAAGGTTTGAGTTACAGGAATGAGTGTCTGTGTCATGGTTATAGGAGTTGCTGGCCAGGGGTGGATTCTAAGTGAGCAGATGATTCCTGTGTGCTCCTTAATAAAATTGTGTGTGGGGGGGGTACAGAGACAATGATATACAAAATGTTATTATTTTTGTGCTTTGTGCTTTCCGTGTCTTAAATCCGTCTGTATTACAAAGTCATGGAGATAGCTTTCTGTTTTCCCTTCTAGTAATTTTTAAACATTTACTGATTACACTGGGTAAAAGAATCTGTAGTTTATTTTTGTGAATATGGGAAATAGAGGTCTGAATTTTTTTTAATATGGTGAGTCAGTTTTCCTAATACCATTTATCAACTAGTTTACTTTTTCCCCTCTGATTTTTAAAGCCTTATATATGCATGAACTTATATGTTTGGGTATGCATTTGGACTCTCTTCTGTTTTATTGATCCATTTATTTCCTATTAACACTTTTTTTTTTTTTTAAGATTTTATTTATTTATTTATTTGACAGAGAGAGAGATCACAAGCAGGCAGAGAGGCAGGTAGAGAGAGAGGAGGAAGCAGGCTCCCTGCTGAGCAGAGAGCCCGATGCGGGGCTCGATCCCAGGACCCTGAGATCATGACCTGAGCCGAAGGCAGCGGCTTAACCCACTGAGCCACCCAGGCGCCCCCTATTAACACTTTTTTTTAGCAATAGTGTCTTTGTAATATTTTTAAATATCAAATAGGATTATTCTTCCATTTTTTACTTTATTTTATTTTTGAAAAATTAAATTCCAGTATAATTACTGTACAGTGTTTTATTAGTTTTAGGTATACAATATGGGGAATCAGCAGTTCTATACATTACACAGTGCTCATCACAATAAGAGTAATCTTAATTACTTTTTTACTTAATTACTTAATTACTTAAGAGGAATCTTAAT